TGATTTCCTCACTTGTATACTCCGGGTCGGTATTCATGTCATAAGAAGGAATTCCCCTCGACTACGCCGACAAATTGCGGAAAACAAACATTCTTCCCCATTGACCCCCATTGTAAAAGAGCCAACTTCGTCGTTGGTTTTTTGTTATACAGAAATCACAAAACATTTTGAAAAGCTGCTGTGTTGTTCAATGTACATGTAACCAGGTCAAAAATCCAAACCTACAGTTCCCAATGATCCCACGTAGGGATATAAGAGCCGGCTATTCGGCGTGGGAAATTGTGGGGACCCAGTGTCGATGTACACGTAGCAAAAATGTAATCACAGGTAAGACATTTAACTTGTTTAGTATAGTCCCTTTGTAACTCCACTCACTACATGTATCTGTATAGTTAGTTTGTTTGTGTGGTCTTGGCTAGCTTTAATGTTTTGGTCGGTAGCTAGCTAGCTAGCTAGAACTCACTCACTGGCTAACGTTAGCACCATCATGAAAAGAGGCATGAGGGAAGCCCTACAATATTACATTTTTCTAAGTATTGAGAACGCTCGGGAGCAGGCAATTTTGGAAAGTCATGTCTTTAGATATGTTGTGCTTTTCTTAAATGTAGTTTCGCAATTGACTAAAACAAGCAGACAACAAGAAAATTGCAATTTGAAAAAAGTTTTTGCTGTGAGCCAATGGTTGTTGTTTTCCCCTGGGACTATGGGTTGATGCACTAGGCCTAACGTTTCCAATCTTTCCAAACAGTTTTTACAAAAATGTATAATGATAAAAGCACCGCTGGATGTTTGCAACTTGGAGCTCTGTTTTCAGAAATTAAGCCAGGCTACCTGGATAGTTCATTAACTATTTTATTAGTTAGACTTGCGAAAGCAAAATTCCCACTTTAAATAATGTACAACATATTTCTGACTTTTTCTTTGGAACGCTACTCCTCTTACACTAGGCTAAAAACGCAATTCAAACTTTAAAACGTGCAGAACATTCTGGAATAGTGTGCTTTTGAAAACATTTATACTTTTTAAAAGTTTTGTCCTTCTAAAAAAACGAATCCACTTTAATGGGATTTCTTCAACATTCTAAAGCTCCCGTTGTTAAAAACTCCCATGACTTCCAACATTCGATTCACTGTAAACATTTTCACCTTTGACACAAATCAGCTACTTTTCCAACAAACAAAAACTTAGAGGGTATGACATATTAATCTACTTCTTTGCCATTCAAATCTGAAATCAGAACAGAATTATATTCTACCAAAAGAGGTACAGCTGTTTAAGGAACTGCACCAACTACTTTCATTAAGCTAACTTCCCACTGTTGAATTAACTAACAGCCATAGAACATTCAAAAATGTCAAATTATAGCACTGCGGGAGTACATTCTAAGCATTAGACAATGAGTAAAGATTGTGATTTATGACACAAATCAGCTACTTTGACCACTTTCCCAACAAGGTAGGATTTTCCTGAAGTCAATGACCAAAAGCGCCCTCTTTGTCCTCATGGATGGAATGTTATTAATATTTTTCAGAATGTAATTATTAGTACATTTCTTTCTTCTTCTTTTGACGAAAATCCGGTATTTCTTTGTCAAACAGTTTTGTTATATTTCAGTCTTCAGTGATGTATATAAAATGTAATATTGGGATGCAAACTCAAAATGTAACACATTTCAACTCCATATCTGACATGGTATCAGTGTCTTCTTTTTTTAAAGCTCATAACCATGTGTGTGAGGTGCATACTTTTGTTTCAAAGTAGATTTGTTTACGATTACCAATAATCACTCTGTGTAGCCCACTGCAGTAAAAGGTTAACTTAGAGTTTATAAAATCTGAAATCTGAACAGAACAGCAACTGCACCGCCCGCAACCGCAGGGCTCTCCAGAGGGTGGTGCGGTCAGCCCAACGCATCACCAGGGGCACACTGCCTGCCCACCAGGACATCTACAAAGCTGGGACTGAGATACCTAAAAACAGCTATCTCCAGGCCATCAGACTGCTGAACAGTCATCACTAGTCACCTTCAGCCCGCTACCCTGCCCTGCACCTTAGTCACTGTCACTAGCCGGTTACCACCCGGTACTCTACCTAGCACCTTAGAGACTGCTACCCTATGCGCTGTACATAGAGTCGTTGAACACTGGTTACTTTAATAACGTTTACAAAATATTTATTGCTCTGAAATCATTTTAAACAGATAAGATTAGCATTCCTGCAACATTATCTTGTTGAACTATAATTTGATCTCTGAAAATTACGCTAATTGTTTATTCGGTTTACATGTAAATACTGTATTCTGGACATAGCTCATCCATATAACCACTGCTGTACATACCTTTTTCCTACTTGTATATTGACCATATTGTCTATATACACCATGTATTTATAGTTATATTCTGGACTCTGATATTGCGCGTTCCGATATTTCTTAATTTCTTGTTTTGTCTTCTTCTTTTTTGTCGTTGTTGATTATTTGTGTGTTAGTATTGTACTGTTAGATATTTACTGCACTGCTGGAGTTAGAAACACATGCATTTCCTGGCACCTGCTTTAACATCTGCTGATCTGTGTATACAAATAAACTTTGATTCGATTTTGACTTGATTTAAATCTGAAATCAGAATGTAAATATCTTCTACCAACAACTGAAATGTTGTCCACTTTTACAACAACATGGAAAACAATTTAGAGTGTATGAAATCTTCGTCTACTTCTCTGCTTTTCAAATCTGAAATCAGAACAGAAATATATTCTACAAATCAAATTATAGCACTGGGGGGTTTGAGTACTGACAGTCCTGAATGCTGATTGGCTGACAGCCGTGGTATATCAGACCGTATACCAAGGGTATGACAAAACATTTATTTTTACTACTCTAATTACATTGGTAACCAGTTTATAATAGCAATAAGGCACCTCTGGGGTTTGTGGTATATGGCCAATATACCGCATTGTGTTTTGCATAAGAACAGCCCTGAGGCGTGGTATATTGGCCATGTACCACACCTCCTCTGGCCTTATTGCTTAATTATAGCACTGGGGGGAGCACATAAGACTGACTGTGCCACATAGCTCACCCAACTAAACTACCCTCACACTCACAGACCAAACTACAATTTACTATAGCTAACCCATGGCCTACCTAAAACATTCAGTATTACTACTGCATTGTACTGCTACTAGTACTTCTGTGCTACTTACTACTACCTAGTCTCCCACTGAAGGCTACTATCAACTATGTATAAAACAGTCCCGTCCTCTACCACACCAGCCTCAATTGTTCAACACACATATTCCTTTTTAATTCCTTATGAGTTAAAGTATAGTAGTCTGAGTCTAGTTATTTGTGATGAAATATGTGATGTCACCGCCCACACTATAAAAGTAATAATAATAATATAATATGTAATATAATATGCCATTTAGCAGATAATAAGGTTGATTATAGTAGTCTATCAAATAAATCAGACCAGATATTTTTAATATTTAACTTTGACTAGACTATATTTCACAGCTTCGCTTAAGTAACAGTTCTTTCACTACCACAAATACATTTGTTTTCATGAAAAATGATCATCTAGTTTATTTATTTATATTTATTTAGAGCTCCTGTTTGCTGCACCTGGTAGGCTACTCCATGTGAAAGGCTACCTGCAGAGGGCAGCCATATGCTCCAATCCGATCCGTGACTAATTATTGGCAGTGGCTTCAAACGCCTTGCTAAACCATTTAACAGGTGCTTAAGGCCGTTTGCAAACACATAAGCTATATGAGGCCTAACTTTCTGTCGCTTGAATCCCGTGTCAAAAAAAATGATAACAGTTTGAAAGTCTTTGGTCAATTAGGCTTACTTATGATCGGAGAACAACATCTGAGAACAACATCTGACTGCCAATTCGCAGTAATTCTACAGGCTAACAGCATAATCGCATTAGGCCAACCCCTATTTATTTATTTTATTTGTATTTTGTTCGTTTTAATTTGAAATGTCTGATAACTGGGTTATAGCCTACCTCTGTACCAATGCTACACCTGACAGCAATACTGGATACAATTGCTCAATTGCTATGAAAACTAAGTGATTCTTGAGATAAATAAATATAAGCTATATCCTACATTAAAAACAAAAATATCCCTGAAATGTTTCAGCCTTTATGCCTATGCACATGTAGGCTACACAGAAACATTAAGAGTGAATTAGCCTGTTTCAAATAGGCCTACACGTGACATGGAAGTTGGCTTATAGCCTACAGGTCAAGTGTAATAAGCTATTTGTATGCAATAATTTAGCAAAGTACGCACATGTAGGATAGTTTATTATTTGGAGGCATTTACTTGTGCATGGACCTGCTTGGTAAACCATAGTGTACAGGAGAAGCTACGGCCAAAATACTGCAGTGCGGGTTTGGTTGAATACACTATAATGAAATTCCCAAACATTGCCGATCTAAAGCAGTATAGTGGTGGTAATTAGGCAGTGTCAAGGGTATAGCAATGACGCCCAGGAAAGTCATGGAACCCATGAGAATAAGGCTACACTTTTTGATAGACAAGAATTATGACAGCTTGACGCTTTTGAAGTTACTACAGATTCTTTCTACGTATACATGTAGGCTACCAGTCTGCCAATGAGGCAATGGCTTTTCAATTAATTCACTGTACAAAAATCACGTGCCAAGAGGTTATCTTGGATGTCATTGGTTACTGTATAGTTGCTGCTGGTGTCGTATTTGGGCGGAGTGATTGACTTGAATCGACCGAATACATTCACTAGTCTAGCCTATAGCCCACGCAATCGAAAGGGGTGGGAGTTTGACCCCCTCTCACCTTTTGTGCCATCTAAAAACCTTAGGATTTCAAGGAATTGTGGATTAACCTATACATTTAACAGAATGGAAACGTGCATACGATTTTCGCACATTATGGACACTTTGGCCACTATAAAGCTGTAAAAGGTTTCTGTACTTCTTTACAAAAGTGATATCTTCGGTGCTTCAATGACCAAGCTCGTTGACCACGGTGAGCAATTCTCCGCGCTTGGTGTCGGGGACGTTGGAATGCCAAGACATCTTGAACCGGGGGGCAAAGACATTCGGTTAGGGATCAGCCCTTACGGAGAGACCTCTCACATAGCAGCCTTCAATCTCAGCACTGCATGTCAAGACGTTGCCGCCGCACAGAAGTCCCCGTTTATTCCCCAAGTCTCTGGATACGCAGCTGCGCTCGGAAACCACTACGGCGGGCACTTTGGTTCACATGAATACAGAGCTATTGACTCCATGGATTTTTCGATCAGGTATCGCACTTCAGACATTGTCGATATAGCAACAAGGGATGCTGAGCACGGATTTTTCAGCCGCACCTCAGCAGAAAGTGTACGAATGCCCCTGATGATCTCTGAAAACCTGGTGCACCCTCTCTTTCCATCTATATACGCATCCCCAAACGCATCCCCAAATGGATACATAGCGAACAGCAGGGCGCATTTGGGTTCACAGGGAGACGTATACGTGGGAGCAGATCCGCATCAACCTGTCTCCAGCCAGCACCCACACGTCAGTGCCAGCCAGCTCCACTTTGATCACAATGTGGAGATGGGTATGAGAGTGGCAACACAGAATGGTAACGGTGCTTTCTTTCGATACATTCGACAGCCCTCTAAGCAGGACGTCACATGTAAATGGGTAGATGAGAATCAAACAAATCAACCCCAAAAAACGTGCGGCAAGATGTTCTGCTCCATGATCGAACTGGTTTCGCACGTCTCCATGGATCACGTCGGTGGTCCAGACCAGGGTCTGCACACTTGCTTTTGGGAGGATTGTCCGAGAGAAGGTCAATCTTTTAAAGCAAAGTATAAATTAGTCAACCACATTCGTGTACACACTGGAGAAAAGCCATTCAATTGTCCGTTTCATGGTTGTGGGAAAATATTTGCCAGGTCGGAAAATTTGAAAATACATAAAAGGACTCATACAGGTAATGAGCCTGCCATACATTCTATCAAATCAACCGGCCTAACACAGTATTTAATGTGTTATATGAAACTGGTTAAAGTTACAATGCGCTCTGTTTTAAAACTGCTATGGGTCCAACTTTGGCTAACTACCAGTCAATAGGCCTATCCAAAAGCAATTTTAACGCACAACGCACTGCAATTTATGAAATTAATTTCTACGCATTTTCTTTGGCAGGTGAAAAGCCTTTTAAATGCAATTTCGAAGGCTGTGACAGGCGGTTCGCCAATAGCAGCGACAGAAAAAAACACATGCACGTACATACCTCAGACAAGCCATACAACTGCAAGGTGTGTGACAAGGCCTACACTCATCCCAGCTCTCTGAGGAAACACTCGAAGGCAAGCCATCATTTCTGGTGAAAGAATGCCAGCGTATATGACCTATATTTATATGACCTAGGATATAGAAATCAAATGATTCTCCATTGTTATATCTAATTGAAAGAAAACACACACATATATAGGCTATGGATAAAACTGAAGGACTAGGCTACATATCCTGTTTTTGTAAATTGGAGCAATCAAAAAATACACTTTTGAGTAATCACATCTACAATAAATGTTCTCACTTTGCAGGTTCACGAATCTCAAAGCTCAGGGACCTCCCCAACCGGAACCTCTGGATATGAGTCATCCACGCCACCAGCTCCGTGTAGACCTATGTCCTCAACCATCGAAGACTCGACAAAACCATCCATGCTGGTCAAGCATCATAAGTCAATATTTAAAGAGGATCTCTCATCCAATTGTGTTGAATGGTACGTTTGAAACGGTAGGAACAGGCCTATAGCCTAGGTTTGCCAAGTTTTCAATAAAAGTTCAGAAAACACAGGGTAGGCCTATACATTGCCTTAGTGTTGAGCTGTAAAGGTGCTTTCATAAAATGCAGAGCAAATGCAATCATTTTGGAGTGATGTTTCTTCTATAGCCTCCCAAATGTTTGGAAAAGTCTGATCCTGGGAAAATACTACACATTTACTGCTGATTTACAGATGACAATGTGGCCCACTGCACCAAAGCCTTTAAATTCATAGATAGGCCTCCATATAACCCTAATGATGAAAGAAAGAAAGATACGAAATGAACAAACAAAAGCAAAATATAGAAACCATAAAGTGCATAAAAAGAAAGGAAGTAACTTCAAAGAAAAAAAAGAAAACAGATGGAGGAAATTAATTATAGTAGAAGAACAGTATTTGCATGTGTTACTATATTTTAGCTCTGTTGTCATAATCAGTTTTAAGACAGAAAAACATGGGCCTGCTGTCATTGACATGGAATGTTGCCTTTTGCAAAGAACAATATAAAATGTATAGCTTAATTTCTCTATATTAAAATATACCGTTTACAATATAATTGATATAATTGTATTTTAGTTGCAATTTATTGTAATGTTGGTGTATACATTTACAGATATAAATGGTTATATATAAATCAACATGATTTATATATTTCTATCATGTTCATAAGAGGCATGCAACTTTAGTCAACACTTCAATGAAAAACATGTTTATGGACATTTTATAAATTTTTGTTTTGAGTGATGTTGACTTGTATACATTTTGGGGCTTTTATGTTTTAGATGTTGGATTTTGGAGTGGTAGCCTACCTTTTGCTAAATGATTGACAAGATCCAGCATTTGATGACAAAGCAAAGTTCACAATCCATTAAGGCACCTAAGACAAAAAATATTCTGAAAGTGTTCAGTGGAACATCAAGGAAAATATTTTAAACAGGCAATTTAAATACATCTGGTATATGTTGTTCAGTTAGCCAAACTAGCATCAGATTCAGATAAAAAGTGAAATGAAAACTAAATGCAAAATATCATAGATCAAGGCAAAAGAGAAATAAATAACAGAAATCTGACCTATTTTGAAATTGTGGCATTTAATTTTGTTTGTTGATTTGTTGAAATTGATACTATATATGTAGTGTATCCCAAATTACCAATAAATTGGTAAGACTTTGATTTAGTTTTCCCCTGTTTATTTATCAGGATGATGCTGTACATTATGTGTGGATCTGTACACGAATCTGCTCTCAATATAGCCTATTAGATATCACTGGCGTAGCAAATTAACAAATTGTGTTGAAATATCAGGATATCCTTTATCAGATTAACCATCAAGCTACCAACATATTTTACATAATGTACATCAATTACCCACTGGGGTCATTTTGACCGCAAGAAGAAGCTATTGAAAAAGGAACAATCATAGCAAAATATCAACTTATGAGTTATCAAAACATCAACAAAAAATGACCAAAACAGACTGTTATTTTAGCAAAATTACCATTCATTTGCTAATTCTGTCAAAAAAATATATAAATGTTTCTTTCATATAATGTGCAGCTTTTTCCCAAAGTACAATCCACGTTAGTGCTAAGATGCTAATTGACCATCATTTGATTATATCATTTAAGTTTTCAGAATTTTGAAGTAAATATACATTTTGTCATATTCTTGTGGTAAAAACGACTGCCTACTTGAAATATACTTAATTATATTGACAAAAAGTGATTCAATTCACTTCAAAAAGTGATTCTGAGAGACATTGACCAAAAATATGGCTTAGTTTTCTTTATTTATAGTGAAACAATCAGAGGGGTATGCGCAATGGCAACATGCTTCAAAAAACCTGCCCAAATATTTTAAGTCACATCAAATATCATTGTATACCATTGGCAGATATTTATAGGCACGGAAATAAGGTCATTTTTGTTTTGTACACAGTCATAAGATACGTGGTATAGAAAAGTACAATCTTAGGCGAGTACATGGGGCGCTTTATCTCTGCAGGTGATCTGTCTATCTGGTCAAAATCACTGATACAGGTCCCCCTCTACCCTCTGGTGGTATGGATAACTAGTAATTTTGTCTCCATAGAAACCTAGATTAAAATAATCAGTAAGAAAAAAAAAAATTATGCACTCATTAACTGTAAATTGCTCTGGATAAGAGCATCTGCTAAATGACTAAAATGTAAATGTAAAAAAGAATAAAGGTAATATAATGTATCATATTACACAGGCGGAATTAAGGGATTTTTTTTGATACAGTTCATATTGATATAGAAACACTAAACAATGATTTAGATTAGTTAAGAACAAGTTGATTGACAAAATCATGAACAATTAGAAGAATTGAATAAACCACCTTTGGGCTATGATTTAAAAAAATATGCCTCTGGGGTCAAAATGACCCCAGTCGGTAGCTTGAGGGTTAACAGAATGCCTTCTGATGATAAGCATGGTATCAGAGAGAACCTATATTTAAACCCATGCACTGCACCATTCATATATTATCTTTTACAGGTCTTTATTTTACTGTTGGCCATGAACGGGCACACAACACTACCTACCTTTTCGGCCTACCCTTCAGCTCTATTAGTCTATATCTGCTGGCTTAGCTGGAAGCACGTTCTAAGAGGATCAACCCATAAGCAGTTTCCAACGGCCCTTTGTCACGCAAGTGTCTGTGTCATCTTTGTGAGAGTCTGGTCCTGTGTTGTTTTCTACGGATAGCCTGGCGGTACCAATGTCAACTGACTTCTTGTCGGTTCTAGCCCTGCTTATCGGTAGACGCCCTCACGAATATGAAGTACTCCCCTCAGTAATATCACACCAATTTCACAAGCAACTGAGTAATCATGGTTGCCACAGATTTAACAGAGATTTTTTTTTATTCTCCAAAATGCCCCATAATCTTCATCTTCCCTGTTCTCCACCTTCCTCTTCACCATAATCATCCTCTTTGCCCTCCATGGCACTCTTCTGAGGACACTCCTGCCATATGAGCGGAGCCATCAGCCGTGGTGGTGACAGGCTGGAGCCTGCAGTAATTGTGCCCCTGCTGAGGTTCTGGCCTGTCTGGGATCAGGGCCCAGCAGGAGGGGGGAGGGGGGAGGGGGGGGGGGGGGGGGGCCTGCCCTACAGCCATGGGAACAGCCAGGGGAGGAGGAGCCTAACCTGTCAGAGATTAAGACCTTCTACTTGTTGATCTCTCATCCCACATACTCACTAAGCTGAACAAAAATTAATCTTTGGACAATTTGGGAGAGGAGAAACTGCTGAACAAACATGAATTCCACCTACAGTTGGGGTTGATTAGGAGAGGAGGGAAGTTAGAAGGTACCTAGTGTTCACAAAACCGTTTATAGTCAGTTGACCTTTAGTAGATTATCGGAAGAGAGACGAAACAGAAACTATTTGTAGAATATTAAAGCTCATCATTAGCTGTTTATTAGCAAAAATCTGTCTCTCCACTTGTCTGATTCCAGTCAAAGTCCTTTTTTCTGTGTGTATATGTATGTGTGTGCGCTGTGCGTGCATTCATGCATGCGCGTCTACTCCCATTCATTACTTTAATCTTATTTTTCAGCAGTCTCTCCTCTCAGTGCCAGACCAAGCCTCTTGCCCAGTAGGGTACACATCTACCCCTGACCACCTGCTGGGCTCAGAGCATGGCCCCATTCATGACTCTCTCCTTCTACTTTTTGGTCCCCTCCCCTCCCTCTACAGACATTTGCTTTGGTCCTTATTTTTTGTCCACTTTCTTATCTTTACATTTAGGTCGTTACGGACAGCCCCTCTTACAATAACTGTATGCAGAAAGCAGAGGAAGACTCAACTTCACAGGACTTTCAACTAAAAAGTGGGCGGAGACATGAATCACATATGGCTTAACTCTAGTGACCTCCCACTGGGTTATATTTGTGAGGTGTGGTTCATTGAAGAGAAAAAAGCCAAGTGGGGCTAATGGTGCCAACCATTTACATTTTAGTCATTTAGCAGACGCTCTTATCCAGAGCGAGTTAGTTAGTGCATACATGTTTTTTATTTCAGAGCCACATATAGAGAGTTAGGCCAACTTTTAGAACATTTTATATTGTTCTAATTCTAGTCATTCAGTTATATAGAATTGTTTAAATACATCACATGTAATGTTAATGGAGAGCTAACATGGCTGCCGTAGAATATTGTAGTGTCAAGTAAATGTATCATAATGCTCATTCTAGACATTCTATTTTATAGTATTTAAAAAATAAAATATTCCCCATGTAATGTTATCGGGGAGCTAACATGGCTGCCAAAGAATGTTGAAGAGTCATGTAAATGCATCATAATGCAGAAACCGCATTGGCCCAACTCTCAAAATATATATATTGAACAAAAATATAAATGCAACATGTAAAGGTATTGATCCCATGTTCCATGAGCTGAAATAAAATATCCCACAAATTTGAGGAGTATTTCTGTCTGTAATAAAGCCCTTTTGTGGCAAAAAAAACTCATTCTGATTGGCTGGGCCCTGGCTCCCAAGTGGGTAGGCCTATGCTCTCCCAGGCCCACCCATGGCTGCACACCTGCCCAGTCATGAAAATTAATAGATTAGGGCCTAATGCATGTATTTATATTGACTGGTTTCCTTATATGAACAGTAACAGTAAAATCTTTGAAATTTATATTTTTGTTCAGTGTACATGGCCATCTGGTGCCATCTAGTGGTGAAGAGGAGATGCATCAAGCAGCCTTTCAGCAGGGTGGTGGTCAATATAATACTGAAACTTCCCTTTTACTTTGTAAAATATCTTTATTGAACAGATCACTAAATCAATGATAACCTAATGTCAAAGTCATTAGAGCCTCCTAATAATGTGACAATCATCTTGTAAAATAATGGTGATTTTCAACATAAATATCGGGAGCATTGTGAATGTTACTGTGTTTGAACATGCATACACAAAAAAGG